CAAAAAAAAAAAAAAAAAAAAAGTTCCATGAGGATTCATGAAGCTGTTCCAGACTTCCTCTTCTCAGTGGCCATGGGCTCCTGAATACCCATGAGCTTCCCATTCTGACCCTTCAGCAGTCTGCTAGGGACCTAAAATTCAAAAATGGCTCTGGTTTCTCAGTGACTCTTTTGTTGAACCCCACTTGGAGTCACTACTATTCAGTATATATTACTAGGTAGCACACTGTGATAGAGAGATTAGTCGTCCTCTAAAGAGATGCACATCCTAATCCCTAGAGTTTGTGACTATGTTCCCTTATAATGGCAAAAAGGAATTAAAGTTGCAGATGGAAGTAAGGTTGCTAATCAGCTGATCTTACAATAAGGAGACCATCCTAAATTATAAAAACCATAATGTAATCTCAGTGTAATCACAAAGATCCTTAATGTTGAAGAGGGAGACAGAAGACTAAAGACAGAGAAAGATGTGAGGACGAAAGCAGGTTCTGAGAGATGATACGTTTCTGGCTTTGGAGATGGAGGAAGGGAACTATGAGCCAAGGTATGCAGGCAGTCTCTAGAAGACAGAAAAGGTGAGGAAACAAATGTCTCCTAGAACCTCCAGAAAGAAACAGTCCCGCTAACATTTTGATTTTAGTCCAGCGAGACCTTTATCAGATTTCTGAACTACAGAACTGTAAGATGATAAATTTGTGTTTTTTAAGCTATTAAATATGTTGTGATTTGTTATGCAGAAATCGAAAACAAATACATACGACTTCCTGACTACCAAGACCAGGACCAGTATACTTGTTACTACCTATGGGAAACAACCAGCTTCTCTATTATCTAATATCCATTGCTGTTACCTGGCAGCAGATTTAGAATAGACACAATTGCTTTTCTGTGTCCTGATTACTACCATGACCCTGTCTACCCTGCCAAGGCAAACCATAAGCTAAGGCGATTATCTACAGATTTTGAAGGAAGTGAATCTGTCTAAATTGTCCCCAGTTCTCTGCTCAAGTCTCTGCTTGGCAAGTCAGCCCACATCTTTCCTGCTGAAGCTTCCCAGTAGATCTGGGAAAACCAGATAAAAAGGATGCCCACAGGTTCCCCAATTCTCACATATGGAGAGAATACCTAGTATGTGTGAGGAGAGGGTGGAGGGGTATGTGCAATGTGGTAAGAAGAGAAACTGCTATCTACAGTTGATATTTTTGTTCAATAACATTGAGCAAATATTTACTGACTGCTTACCATAAACTGACCCTCAGAAAAGTTGACCCACTGCCTACAGAGCCATTCATTCATTCGCTCAGCAAATATGTACTGAGCTCCAACATGTGCCACAGTCACTGGGCACTAGAATCCAGGTCTCCTTCAGAGCTCTTCTTAGAGCTTTTTCAGGACCATCATAAGACACGGGGTGTAACTCTATTCCCATCAGCCATATTTCTCAATTATCGCCCACTTACCAGGGGTTATTATTCTGAAGATTTCTGCAAAATTCTCCATTCTGAGCAGACCTGATCCACATAAAAGCCTTGGTAATTGCCCAAATTTACTTGCTTCCTCATCTACCACTTTCACCCTCCCTGAACTTTCCTTCAGTTCCCAGCACCACTTGGCTCAAATGCTGAGGGTTCCAACCTCACCAGTTTTCTCTTTCAGCACTTCCTTCTGCTTGGTTCTGAAAGTACTATCAGGAGAACCATGAAGCTACCAGGTGTCCCCAGTTCCAGTCCAAAGTAGGGGCTTTCCTTAAAGCTTTCTGACTTCCTTCCTCTATTACTACCCCCCATTAAAAGCTCATTGACTCTTAAAATTTCAATAACCATCTGGGCGTGGTGGTCATGCCTATAATCCCAGCACTTCAGGGGGCCGAGGGGGGAAGATCACCTGAGACCAGGGATTCAAGACCAGCCTGGGCAACGTAGTGAGATTCTGTCTCTATAAAAAAATTGTTTTAAATAACTGGGCATAGAGGTTCGTGTCTGTAGTCCCAGCTACTAGGGAGGCTGAGGTGAAAGGATCACTTGAGCCCAGGAGGTCAAAGCTGCAGCAAGCCAAGATCACACCACTGCACTCCAGCCTGGTGAACAGAGTGAGACCCCCTCATCAAAATGATCAATAATGCAGGTCTTCATGAACTCATCCTGAATTACACCACTGGCCTCCCTCATTCCAGTCTCTTCCCATCCTGTCTTCCCAAACACTTAGTAAGAGCTTATTCAAAGCCAGGTACTGATATAGGCATCAAAGACTCAGCCCCACTAATGCACAGTGATTAAGGGCACATCCTTTGGAGAGACACAGCCCTGGGTCTGGCAGGGCCACAAGCAACTCTGGCATTTAGAATTACTTAACCTCTTTATTATCTTTCTTTTCTCATTTGGAAAACAATAACAAAGTTGCATAATTCTCAGGTTGTAGAGAGCATTAAGTGAGGCAATGCATGGAAAACACTTAACATGGTGCCTGGCACATGGCAAGCACTCAATAAAGTTAACAGTAACAACAAATGGAGCTGTCAGCTGAAAAGCGGAGATGAATATGTATATTCCATAAGTAAGAGTTGGGGGAAGGTAGCACTTGGTAGGTGTTGTGAGCAGAGGAGAGCAAGTGACGAATATAATAGAATGATATGGGGCCAGACCTTGAAGGTTAAAATGGAATTTTCTAGGCGGGGAGGAGGGGAAAGGTTTTCCAGATTGAATGCCTGAGCAAAGGCACAGCAGCGTAGAGGGACGAGATGTTGTGTATTGAAGGGATGGTGGTCTGTTGCTTTGTGCCAATCCTGACTAGATCATTAGCTCCTCAAGGGGAGGCACCTGGTTTTGGATACCAGAGCAGTGTTCATTCACTCATGCAATTGAGTACCAATTTTATACTAGGCACCATGCTAGATGATAAGATTTTTCTGCCTGTCTCCTGCCCTCAAGAAGCTTCTAACTGAGATGATAATAGACAAGAAACCAAAAGAACATTTCAGATAAGTCATATGTTATAAGAAAACAGGATCATCTTAAAGAGAGTGTCTGGGTTGAAGATCAGAGAAAGCCACTCTGAGGAAATGACATTCCAGTTGAATCATGAGAAGTCCTTGGTAAAACAGCATTCTAAGCAGAGGGGATGACAAGAACAAAGCTCCTGCTATATTGAAGAAATAGAAAGCCGGAGGAGGTGCAAGAAAGAGAGTGGAAGAGAGGCAGTCCTGGGAAGGTGGCCCTGATTGGATTCAGGCTTGGTAGGCCATGATAAAAGAGTTTGGATTTTAAATGCACCAGGAAGCCACTGAAGGGTTTCAAGATAAGACATGACATGATCTGATTTGTGTTTTTTAAAAGCTCCCTGCAGCTGCCATGTGGAGAGCAGACTTACAGAAAGGCAAGAAAGAAGGCAGAGGGAACTATTAGAAGGCTAGGGCAGTAGCTCACATCTTACAAAATATCACAGCCTTATGATATTTAGATGTGATGTCTGGAACCTCTCTGTTTACATCAAGTTATACAATCTACTCACTTTACAAGGCCCATCTCCACACAGCCTAGTTGGCACACAGAAGGCTTAGTTGGTCATTGCCAATCAGTTGACTGTCACTCCCCTGAGTCATCCCCATTTCCCTTCCTCCTTCCACCGTCATTCTCTTTTCCTCCCTATCTCTCAAGTTCCCATTTGCCCGACTCCAGCCTTCAAGAGGTCCTACTGTTTCCAATGTATTCCTTTTCTTCTTCTCCTCACCCTACCACCCATGTAAATTTCACAAACTAGATATAAAGGAGATATTTTCTATCCTACTCCAGAAGTACTCAAGAATTATTAATGTCACACAACACTAACAGAAACCTAAGTGTCATCATGACCTCAGTGATAAAACCTGTACACATTCTGCATGTTAAGGACACTGTGTCCTCACTTCTGTTCCAAGCTGTTCTCCCCACCACAGTCAGAGAAATCTTTCAATAGGAAAATCTGTTGATGATCTCATTTGCTCTCTCATGACCTCTCTCTTTCTCCTGGTTAGGAGAGGCCCCTCTCTTCTCGACTTAAACCCCTCCAGTGGCTTCTCCTTGTTCCTCAGATAAATGTCAACTTCCTTGGCATAGGCTCCAAATGGCCCTGTGTGTTATGACCCCAGAACACATCTCAATGGGCTGCCACTCACTCACTGTCACACAATAAACATTACTTCACAAAGCCCTTTCAAAAGTAGCACTTCCTTTGATCCTCAGAACAACTCTGTTAAGCAAGCAAAGCAGACATTACTGTTCCCATTTTAATAGTTGGGGAAACTGAGATTCAAAGAGGCAAGTGACTTACTCAAGGTCACCAAGTCTGTGTGAGGCAGAGGTAGGATTTCAACCTACAGACTCTAACACTTAGTCCAATGCTTTTCCTTACATTAGCCGCCAACAGTTCTAATATCAGTTGCTTCACCCTGCTTTTCTTATCACCTGTTCCTGACCCCTCCACACATCCTCAGCCCAGTTTGTAGTCCCTATCCAGAAGTTTTCAGGTGCCTGTGCAATGGGCAAGTGGGAGTCACAAACCAGGTCACCCTATCAGGGATTGGTCCCAGCCTCCACAGTCTTTTCTGAAACCTCCAGAGATAAAAACACAAAGAGAAGACGTGCCCCACCAGAGCAAGGTCCCTGGCTATCCTTTCTGCCCACGTTCGGGCAGGACCACGCGAGGCCAGACGCCGGCCCCTTTCACAGAAAGACGCGAGGAGAACAAGAGGTTGCCGCCCGCCGGCTGTCAGGGCTCCTGGGCAGGCGGCGCTAGGGATGCGGCAGAGATGGGCCAGCTCCCAGGTTCGGCCCAAGGTCACCCTCTCGCAGCCCCGGCCTGATCCCCAACCGCCCGGAGCGCCCCCTGGTGTCCCGGGCTGGCCTCCCCTCGCCCTCAGGGAACGGCCTGGGAAGCTGGGCTCGGGGCAGAAGGGAGGAGGGTGGGCAGAGGATGAGAAGGCTGCGCCCCGGGGAGGGGCGGGAGGCGCGGGAGGCGGAGCCCTACCTGATAGCTGAGGACGCCGTCCGGCTCGTTACTCCCGGCGGCCGGCATGGTGGAGCCGAACTAGGTCTCCCCCGCGGGCTCGAGGCCGAGCGTCAGCAGCCCGCGCCCTCTGGTCGGGTCTGAGCAGATCACTCGAACGGCGACCCCTACCCCGGAGCCAACGGTCAACCATCAACCGCCGCCGCCTCCATAGCCACAGGCCCGCTAGGCATCTGCCGCAGCCAATCAGCGAGCGGCCTATGCAGCCAATCAGGGCTCGGATCACAGGAGGACGCTGTCCGGCGGTACCCTGGGCTACCGCGGGGGAGGGGGAGGAGCCGGGGAGCCAACCGCTCCTGGGCCCGGTTGCCGAGGAAACCGCCTCCCTCCCTTCGGGGGCCTCTGGGCGTGAAGGTCCTTCCAACTGCGTGCTAGAAAATCTCTGCTTCTATTTGCAGCTGCACCTGACCCTTGAAAACTGAGAAAGTGTCGGTTCTGCCTATTCTGATTTCATTCCTTGGGAGATGATGTTTAAATTCCAGGGAAGCATCCTTCGCAATTGCAGGAGGAAGTAATTGCGGATGAGGGGAGAGGGCCTTCTAAAATTAATTGTTTTTCCCTGAGCTAATGGTCAGATTGAAGAGCATTAAAGTGAAGAAGGCAGGCAGTGTCAGGCCCCCTCACAGACTTACTATGACTTAGGTCTTCTTCTTGAGTCCCAAGTCAGAAGCAAAAAGCACAGACAGGGTTAAGCTAAGGATGACTGTTGAAGCGATTCCACAAAAAGACTTCCAACTTTTCCAGGAAATGATCTAAGGCAAATTATTATTTAACAGAACTACTGACCTAACAAAAGGTTAGACTATCATGAATAATGCATTCAATTTGATTTGGATTTATAATAGAGGCTGGCTAAAATTGAAGCAACCCTCTCTCCCCAAGAAAAAGAAATGGGCCTTTTGTTTCATATGCACTATCATACCAGACTTCAGGTAGGTCCAAATTTGGGGGGGGTGGAGGGTGGGGGAAGAATTGTTGCAAATAATTATCAGCCTCCAAAGAAACTACAGTTGGGGAACATAGTCCGATACATGGTAAAAGTTTCCATCCCTGTTTACCATCCCTTGCACTGGTCCTGAAATTGGAAACAAGGTTGGGCTTCAGTATCCCTGAAGCAGAATTGTATTTCTGATGTCTTATATAAGCCTCATGTCTAGTCTCTGAGTTTTAGTGTTCATTACCACATACTCCATCCATCTCTTTACTAATCCTGTCATCATGAATCTGGAATTCACATTCTACCTTCATCCCCATTTTTGCCCATCAAAATGTTAACCATCCTTCAAAGTTAATCTCAAAGGCCACCTCTTCCAAGAAGCCTTTCTTTATTCTGCTGTCCCTGACACCCCTAACAGATGTTATCTCACCCTCCCCAGAATTCTCAAAGCACTTCATACCTTTCTTAAAGCAGTTGCCATGCTGTGGTTATTTAAGTACTTTATATGTTGACTTTAGTTTACTAGAATATTGCAAGTTCTTTGAAAGCAATGATTATTTTTTATGCCCTTCTGTATACTCAACAGAACCTCAAAGACTGACAGGCACATAGAAAGTACTTAGTAAATAAGTATGCTTTTAATTCAATCTAATAAAAAAATGTATTGAACACCTACTAATGAACAGGCCCAAGTAACACTGTAGAGGCAGAGAAATCTAAACTACATATCTCCAAGGGAGCTTAACAGACTAATCAGGGAAACAGGATATATGTTAATGAGTAATATATATAAACCACAAAGATTACAAAAATTCAGAAGAGAAAATGATCTTCATGAAGGTTTCACAAAGGACATGGATTTGAGTTAAGTCTGAAAACATGGGTAAGATTTAGTTGACCCAAGGTAAGAAGAGCAAGCATCTCAAATCTTAGTTAAAGACTTAAGAATAATAATGCACAATGACCCATTCATGGTAGCCACAATTTGGGCCAAAGCAGAAAGTTAATAAGAAGAGCAGTGGGAAGTAAAAGTTGTGATAGAGAAAGGCTGTGGGCTGGGCACGGTGGCTCACGCCTGTAATCCCAGCACTTTAGGAGGTCAAGACAAGTGGATCCCTTGAACCTAGCAGTTCGAGACCAACCTGGGCAACATGTAGAAACTCCATCACTATTTTTAAAATCCAAAAATAGTAGCCAAGCATAGTGGCATGCACCTGTAGTCCCAGCCCCTCAGGAAGCTGAGGTGGGAGGATCACCTGAGCCCAGGAGAGGCTTCAGCACCACTCCACTCCAGCCTGGGTGACAGAGGGAGACCTGTCTCAGGAAAAAAAAAAAAAAAAAAGGAAAGGCTGTGATCAAATTGTGGAGATCTAGCTAACTCATTCAGACTTTATTTTTCTTATATGATAAAAAGTAGGACACTGAAGGCTTTAGGGAAAATTTCCATGCACCAGAACATGGGTTTAGTGGTATAAAGGCATTGTATCATTTAACAGTCATAATGTCTCTACTCTTTTTCTATTTCACAGGTAAGAAAACTGAGACTCATTGAAGTTAAGCAACTTTCTCAAGGTCAGGCAGTCATGAAGCTGGGATTCCGTTATTCATCTATTAATTCAAAACACTTGCTGAGAACCTATGTATCATGCCCTGTGTTAGGTGTTGGGAAAACAGCAATTAAGACAAACAGTGTCCTTGGCCTCATGAGCCTTACAATAGAGTGGGAGAAAGAAAGTAAACAAGTCATCAAGCAAGATAATCACTAGTTATAATCACTACTATTAAGTAAATAAAGCGTTATGTGATAAAGAGTAACTGGCATGGAATAGGGAGAGCTTCTCTGAGGAAGTGGGGAAAGATTCACCTGAGGAGATAAGTTAGGGCAAGCTCTCTGATTCTAGAGTTTTTGACCACTATGTTGTATTGGCCTGTAAAAATGGTACCATCTACCAGGCACAGTGGCTCATGCCTGTAATCTCAACACTTTGGGAGGCCGAGGCAGGCTGATCACCTGAGTGATCAGGTCAGGAGTTCGAGACCAGTCTGGCCAACATGATGAAACCCTATCTCTACTCAAAATACAAAAAAATTAGCTGGGCATAGTGACACGTCTGTATTGCCAGCTATTTGGGGGGTTGAGGCAGGAGAATCGCTTGAACCTGGGAGGTGGAGGCTGCAGTGAGCCGAGATCACGCCATTGCACTCCAGTCTGAGCAACAAGAGTGAGACTCAGCCTTTTAAAAAAAAAAGGAAAAAAGGTACCATTTCCAAATCTGCCATTAGGGGACAATGGATTAGAGGGGGAAACCTGAGGCAGGGGGTCAGAAAGACTGACTCTGGCAACGTGGTCACATTCAGGGGGAGCCAAGGACAGCGGCCAAAGATGTGCCCACATCCCCCACTCGCCTGGAAGGCAGGTCCCAGTCATGGCAGAAGTGGAGTAGGTAGGGTAGGGAAAGGAATTGAGTAGAGGTGATTCTTGGGAGCTCTGGTGGATCTGACTTCTCTCCAGTTCAAATGTGGAAAAAGTCAGAGTCGCTGGCCCTTGACTCCAGGGTCAAGAGCCCCATCTTCTGGCCTAATGTGCAAATTACAAAAGGAAGTAGACCACAAAGGCAGCAGCTGAGGCTGCTGCTATCTGGGGCACTGCAGAAGATAGGCTCTACCCTCCCAGGGATAATTTGGTCTCTTCTTCCCAAAAAAAAAAAGCTGGTTCTCTTGGCTCTGGGCACAAGGCTCCTAACCACTACTGTTCCCTGCCCTGGTTAGAAAAGCGCAAATATGTGATTCTCAGCCTGGCCCCCAGACAGGTTCTGGAGGAGCTGGAGGTATTCAGCCAAGGACACCATCTCACACTGATGATTTTTCTAAAGAAGGCAGAAAATTTTTTAAAAAAACAAATAGCAGAACAGAACTCAGAGACTTCTGGAGCCTTCAGTCATCCTAGAAAGAGGCATAAAGTGGACAAGAAAATGGAAAATACATATGTAGAGGCAGCAACCACACACACATACCATACCAAGAGGGAGGCAGGGAGGCATGCTACATGGATGGCCTCACTTCGTCCTTGCAACAACTCTGAGGTAGGCACTATCATCCCACTAAATAGATTAGAAAACTGAGGCTTACAGATGTAACTTCCCCAGGTCACACAGCCAGCACAATTAATAGATGGAGACTCTAAACCATGAGCTCAGAGGAAATGATTTACAGAGTGCATAAGCTTCACCACCCTACTATCTCCCATGGGGATGCTTGGGAATTTCATCATTCTCCAACATTTATAGGCTCCATTTTCTCTTTGTGGCTTCCTGACGTGGCCATCCTTCCAGATTTTGTTTTAGACTCATTCTCTCTTTCTCTTTTTTTTTTTTTTTTTTTTTTGGAGATGGAGTCTTGCTCTGTTTCCCAGGCAAGAGTGCAGTGGCACAATCTCAGCTCATTGCAATCTCCACCTGCTGGGTTCAAGAAATTCTCCTGCCCCAGCCTCCCAAGTATGTGCCATCATGCCTAGCTAATTTTTGTATTTTCGTAGAGACAGGATTTCACCATGCTGGCCAGGCTGGTCTCGAACTCCTGAGCTCAGGTGACCCACCCGCCTTGGCCTCCCAAAGTGCTGGGATTACAGACGTAAGCCACCATGCCCGACCTCTTTTTCTTCCATAATATCAGTGGTTCTTAAACTTTGGGGAAAGAAATAGGTCTTGAACTCCCTGGCAACATTACAAAATCTATGGATTCTCTTTTCAGATAGCTACACAAAGCCCAAAATTTTGCATATAATTGTGAGGATGTGTTCATAGACTTCTCAAGGAAGTATGAGGCACCTTATGTATATGATCCTTAAATATCCTGAAAGACACTGAAATTCTTCTATTCGGAGACATACACAAATATAAGAAACTCAAAAAATCTGAGAAAATGATCTTAAATAATTTGCAACCAATTTTTCCATCAAAAGCATCTAAACTCCTCCATCAGTTTACCATGTCTCTTATTCTGTGTGAACTGTCCACAGGGCCACCAGGGCCAAGGTCTTAGGCTTTACTTGCCATGAGATAGCTCCTGATTTCCATCTGCATCTTATATCTGATTTTATTTCTCCACTTTCCTCTTACATACACATCTAAACCCAAGATGTGGTTGGAGGAAAAGACGTCAGGATCCGAGGACAGACTTAATTAGGGCTTATTCATGCTGTTGTCTGGGAGCATTTCCTGTGCAAGGGAGGGGCAAG